TGTATAAGTTGACAGTGCCGCCCTGGTCTTGATCTTGCCTTGTTTGTACTCTTCTGACTCGTCTTTAGACCCCTGCCTCATAGGTTGGACTAGTAGTGCCGCCCTGAGCTGCTTATCTCTCACCAGGCTCTGTCCCTATCTAGTCTAGAGGGTGTGTCAAACATATGTGTGTATGTTTGGTAGACTACATAGGGTGATGCCATAGAGAGTACAACCCACTAGCTATATACCCCAGTATACTCTCATTCGATCACATAATTCTAATTTTGATAAGAGAGACCTAACCTAGCGTGATACCATCTCAGGATAACGCAATGAACTAGAATAAGGAGTTGTACTCTCTATGAGCATGCACCTATCTAGCATGTAACATATACAAATATATGTTGACAGAAGGCATATCTGAAAGAAACTTTCGATATAGTGCATCACTTTCAAGCGTGGAATATCCCTTATTGGGTACATGCACAAAAGGGTTGGCAGCGGAAGTGTTTGTGACAAGAGTTTTTGTTACCCTATTTGGTCGAGTACGAGTTTAGACCCCTCTTGCATAAAATTAACTTGTTGCGGGCGCATTATTTATCAACACAGACGGTATCAGTTTTACGTGAAGGTGGCAACCACCAATCTTGCCAGTATTCCACACATGAACCGTCTCTTCCGCCTCACCCTTTTCTTCCATCCCCCTTGTCTGTTTCTCCACTTCTCCATTACAGTACACCGAACCCCCGCCTTCCGCCAGTCATTCCCCGCCCCTCGTAGCCTTCCCATTTCCCCAACCTGCCCCGTTCCCCCAACCTTCCCCATTCCGCCCCTCCCTTGACGCTCCACTTCCTCTCAAATCCTCCTCTGCGGTTAACACAAGCTCTTTTCCTCCCGTTAGTTTCCGTAACAACTGTGACCCCCCTTCAGCCGCCATGGTAAGTCTCTTGGCGCCCCTAGCTATGGCGGGTCGTCTGCTGGCTGCGCTGTGGTTCGCTACGTAGAGACTGCGTTGCTATTGGAGGATTTGCAGCAGAGTGGCGAAACATTCGTGACGGGAGTTTAGCGGTTGAATAAGGCAGTGTTAGGGTTTCGACCACTCCGGCTGCGGCTCAGCTTCGGCCGAGGGGGCGTATGCTTTTGTTTGCTGACGTCACTGAAGTCAGGTCTACGTCATGCCGGCTGTGCTTGGAACGTCGCCAGAATGGAGTATCTTCGGGAATGCGACCGTGTGCGACAACAGCGCAGCGAGTAGAGGCGCGATTGCGCACGCATCAACGGATCCGTGGCTGGACCGTCAACCTAGCTAGGTAGCGAGGGGCGCGTGCGCAACGAATAGAGGCGCGTGCGCAATCGCGCCTCTACACGGATCCGTGGCTGGACCGTCAGCTTAGCTAGGTAGCGAGGGGCGGTCCCCGGATTGTCAGGGGTCTTTCTCCAGGAGACGGCGAGCGGGTTTGAGCGGCAGCTGCTAGTTGCCAGTTTGAGGGGGCTTTCTTAGATTTGCAAGCTGACGAGGCTCACACGTCGCTTGAGTGATCGTCTTCTTGCCCGTCCCGGTGCCCCTTCTGCAGAGCGGTACTAGGATCGATGCCTAGGAAGGCCGTTTTTAGAATCGACCTTCGCTCTCGGTAGTTGAGTCTCTGGAGTTGAATCCGAGGTTCGAGGCGCGATAATATCCCGCGGACGAGAGTAGAGCAGAGTGGAGCAATAGGCTCTGTTTTAGACGACAGTATGGTCGATGTTCGTACAGGGTTCAACCGGCCGATTTTTCTCCGCACATTTGTTTCATAGCCCCTTAGCTCCGAGTTTCTCCTCCTCTGTGCGCCTCCGTGGCGATTCTGTGGAGCGGTCGAGCATGCGTTGGTTATGGGAACATTAGGGTTTGCAGTCTGTTGACCTTCTGGGGACTTATAGGAGCTAATTTCGTTACCTTCTGTATTTTCGGCATTGGATCTCTCTCGTTCGCTCCTTCGTTCGATCTGCACTGGCCGTGGGTTGTTAGAAGGTGTAGTGTGCCGTTCGTTCCTCCCTGGTCCCGAACTTTCCACCCTCCCGGTGTGCTGTTTTCCCGTTGCTTCCCTCTCTCCTGCCCCTGTTTTCCTCCTCGCGTTTCCTCCTCCCGTTTCCGTTGTGATCCTTCTCGCTTTTCGCGTGACTGCCACGTGGCTAACTGCAGGGAAAGGGAACGGGTAGTTTCGGTAAGCGCCGCAACAAGACGCACACGCTGTGCCGGCGCTGCGGCCGCCGCTCCTACCACATTCAGAAGAGCCGATGCGGTGCCTGCGGCTACCCCGCTGCTCGCGTGCGCAAGTGTAAGCCGTGCAGTTCGCGCTCTCGAATTATCCCAGAGGCCTGCAGTCACCATGCATTTACTCGTTTTCCTCCCCCCCCCCCCCCCCTTTTCCCTCCCCTCCCCACCTCCCACATTTCTTTCCTCTTCCCCCCCCCCCGCCCTCAACTCCCCCTCTTCCCCCTTTTCTCCCCAACCATAGCACCCTTCATCCCTTCTCACGCGGCCAGTCCGTTTCAGAATGACAACCATTCGCTGCCCGTCTCCCCAGTTTTCCTCCCTCGCTCCCATCTCCCCTTCCTCTTCCGCCCCCTCCCCCCCCTCTCCCCCCCCCCTCCCCTCCTCATCCCCTTCTTCCGCCTGTCAACTGAAGCGCGAAGGCATTCGACGCAAGACGACCGGCACGGGCCGCATGCTTCACCTAAAGACATTCCCTTGAACTCTTGCGCTTCCCCTATTCTCCTCCTTAAACCCCCTCCCGTCCCCCGCCCTCTCTCCCTTTCTCCCCTCCTTCAACTGGAGCGTGAAGGCACCAGCCGCACACGGTATCTCAAGCCACTTTCCCAGCACTCGCGCTTTTCCCTAGTTTCCCCCTTACCTCCCCTCCCCCTCTCCCTCCCCACCCCCCTCATCCCCTTTTTCCGCCAGTCAACTGGAGCGTGAAGGCGATTAGGCGCAAGACGACCGGCACTGGCCGCATGCGGTACCTCAAGGACCTGCCGCGCCGCTTCAAGAACGGCTTCCGCGAGGGTGAGCATTGGGGGATGATGCACGGGGTGTTGGGGAATGGCGCGCGGGGCATCGGGGGATGGTGCGCGGGGCATGGGGTGATGGTTCGCGGGGTACGGGGGGATGGTGCGCGGGGAATTGTGGGATGTTGCGCGGGGCATTGGGGGTGTGGTGTGCTGGGCAGTGCGGGATGGAGGTAGGATGCGAGAAGGCTTGTGAGAGTATCAGAGCGGGTCGAGACCAGCACTGTCCATTCAGTACCTCAAGGTGATTATGGATTCGACTAAAGAGTCACCTCAGAATGGAGGTGGGATGCAGGGAGGCTTGAGAGGGTGTGAGAGAGAGTAAGGTGCGGCCAGCACTGTCCACGCGGATTTGCGCCACTTCAAGAACGGATTCTGTGGAGGTGAACGGAATTGAGGGATTTGACACCCTGACTATGTGCTTGAGCTGTTGCCGTGTTTCTTTTCAATCCCGCAGCCAGCTGCAAATGCACGGCCTTGGTCGCCTACGAACTCACTTGACCCACCACCTGACTCACCACCTTTTCTCATCCAAATTTCACACCGTCTTTTCTCACCCAACTTGCTCACCGCCTTTTCTGACCCAACTGACTCACGGCCTTTTCTCACCCAACCCTCTATCACCACCTTTTCTCACTTACTCACCTCCAGGAACACAAGCACCCCCCCGCAACCGGGTGGCCGCCTCGACCTAAGGCTGCAGCAGCAGGAGCAGCAGCAGGGTTGGTGCAAGCGTCAGGATGAGGACCGTTGTTGCATGGGCTGATGAGAAGATTGTGGCAGCGCAGTGCACAGTCAGAGCCGTTCACACAGGAGGTTCTGTGCGGTGGTGATGTATGGAGGGCTCCAGTTTGGCAGTCTTCGCTGAATGCCATCCTCTGCTGGTCTGGCGAGTGTGCAAGCAATAGGTTTGTATGGAGTTGATTAGTTGGATCAGTGTAATGTGATGTCTGAAAGAAAAGTGCTCACTTAAAATCTTACACTCGCTGACCATGGCGTTTATGGAATGGGGTATATCTAAATGGAGATTCTTTGTACTCGGCTCCTCGACTTAGCAGTATCTATGTGCCTCCGTTTGGGCATAAGCTTCGAGAACTAGCAATATTGGCTGTGACACCAGTTGTGTACTGTTTGCTGGTTTAATTCTGCGTGATACTGTATACAGGCCGATTTTATCAAGAAATGTCAACTTTATCCGCCAGTTGGCACTGTCTGCTCGAGGCGCTGAATTTTGACAGCCGCCGAAGCTTGGATTCAGTGGCTTACAAATCTGCACCTTCTTGAGTTTGCCCTCGAGCTGTCCATCGGAGGTGCTGCAACGTCGACTTGAACCCTCCACGTCAACATTACACCTTCTCACGACGTTTCGACACTACTGTCGCCATCGGCGAACTTCGCAACCGCCTTCGCAAACCCAATTGTGGCCTTCTAGACTTCCAAGAGTCAATTGTCGAGAGCTTGTGATTCGTCCTCGAAATACCCGATAAGCCTGTAATACTGCTGTACAATTCGTACTCCACGCGTGGCAAAAATCCTTGACAATGTGCCGCGTCGCCAGGAGCATCCTTCAGCAATTGCCACGTACGCAGACAGCCTCACGAATTCCCTCCACGTCGGTGCCATGTGGTCAGCGTGGTGAGAACTCCCCCATCCCAGATGGCCTCGGGGGATGGACCTTGTGATTGACTTGGCCAATGCCTGATCAGAAATTCAGGATTGCCTTGGCAACTCTGGCAAGGTCATGCCACTCCATCACACCACTCCAGCGAGGATTCAGGAATCAGGATTCCTGAATCAGGAGGAACCACGCTGGGCAATTGCTGATGGCTGCAGCAGTCAGAAGTAGCAGAACCCATGAGCTGGGATTGCCTAACCATGACCATGACAACAATGGCCGTCACCATCATCAGCGTCGGCGGCAGCATCCATCACCGCCACATAGTTTCAGGGACCTTGGGATTGCGAACGTACAAACCAATAATATAGTTCACACCTCTGGGTTTCGAAACCAGACCGACCAGGAACTGCATTCCAACACTTGTGCCTATTTTCCGAAAAAAAATCTCTCATGCTGAAGGAACTTCGTTACAGACTCTCGTTTCCTCTCTTGCTTCGTAGACTCATTGACGCCTCACTTGCTGCTCCCTGCACGCTCGGCAGGAATTTTGTCCGTTGATTTATCCTCTCTCGATTTCCAGTTACGGTAGCTATAGCAGTTAGGATTGACGCACTTCGACCTGTCCGAAAGTCCAGTTGCTTCCCGCTTCGGTGGTATCTCGCAGTTATATTTTCGAATGCATGAGTTGACAATAACAGCCTGAACGGAAGAGCCATGGCAAAGGGAGCAGCCAAGTCCAAGGGTCATAAACCCCGAACAGAGAAGCGAAAAAAGGAAGAGAAGGGTAAGTTCAGCCCGAACAATGCTATCGAGTGTTAGTAAACGAATAATTCCGTTAAACCTGGACCATCCGCGAGCACTTCTTGCACTGACAGACGGGCAATGTCTTTCACCCAATGCTCTTGTTCTATTCCACCCACCGCAGTGCTTCCCACGGTCCTAGACATAGTGGTCAACGTCCCCGGAGGAAAGCCTATCCTGCTCAAGGTTAGTCCCTCCCTTCCTCGTGTAACCAATATGCACCAGAACGTTTCTGAATGGAAGCGAACCTTTAGCTCCGAGGGATTCTCACTAACCATCCAGCTGTTGCGCTCCTATGAGAGGTAAACCGACCAATCAAAGACAAGCTGGTTCTGAACTTAATCTGACAATTTGAGACCCCTGCGCGACCAAAGAGATATCAGTCGCTCCTGTGCAGTCAGCTCCTTGTTTCAGTCGGCTCGTGCCATGCTCCTCAGGCACCGCATAAGTCGTCGTGACATCCTTTCTCCTCTGGTGACCCTCATTTGCAGGGCATATCGACAGACCGCATATGGGACGTTCGACGTCTCCTGGCCGTCCACGTGGACACATGCCACTTCACCAACTTCTCTCTCTCGCACGAGGTGGGTGCTCCTTCCGACTGTTTTATTTCCACCGCTTCTCCACCGCCTCGCCTCGTCCCCGTTTCCCTCTAGCCTTCACCATTGTCCCCAAAGATGGTGAAATGATGACTCCACAAGTGCCTGCGGAAACTCACACTCAAACGATTCCTGGGCCACAGTAAACTGCAACTGACGCTTCTCTTTTTCCGAACCTCCCTATCAAGACCATACCACCGCCAAGTCACCTCCATGTCATCGCTGTATCGCCTACGGGTCGTCTACGGTGACCTCTGTCATTTCCCCACTCGTGCAGGTCCGCGGTCCTCGCCTGCGTGACTCCGTGGATGTGGTTGCCTTGAAGCCATGCGTCCTCGACCTCGTTCAAGGTAAGCCGGACACGGCACTAGTTGTCTTACCCACCCCACTCCTACCCTTAGCTTCCCCAGCCAACGTGGCGTCTCAAGCCTGACGTAGCACGCAAGCTGGGTGCTCCAAGTCTCCGACCCTTCCCTAGCACATGTCTGGGTTTTACCAAAGGCCCCCTGGTCCCCCTTCCGCCCTACCATGGCTCACAAGGGTTTTGGAATTTACTGATTTGTATTCCATCTCTAGTCCTGAAAGGGGGGTAATAGGAGTGCTAATAGAACGATGACGGGTCGCAGCAATGCTGGTTGGAAAAAACATAATAAAAAACGGTCCTCAATCCACAAACTGGGCAAGCTCGTCCAGCCGTTCATCCAGGCTGTAAGTATAACGATTAACTGATCCTCCCTCCCTCCGTTCCCAACACTCTGCCAATCTCCCAACAGAGGAGTACACGGAGGCATCTGCAGCAGCCCATGTACGCCGGCTGCTGGACATCGTCTCCTGCACTCTCGCCTTCGGGCCCTCTGCTAAGCAACGAGAGGAGGCCGAGGCAGCTGCTGCTGCTGAGGCAGCAGCAAAAGCAGCAGACGCAGACGCAGCAGCTGCTGCTGCAGCACAGTCTGCACCAACGTCCGGGTCCACTCACCAAGGCAGCAATGCAGGTTCGGCAGATGCCGAGCCTGCAAGCGAGGGCAGTGCTGGCTCAGCCCTTGGCCCCAAAGAGACAGCCCCCGAGGCGACTAGCAGCGTGGCGGAATTCGGCAAAGTGCTCGGGCTGGGGGACGTGGGCAGCTTCTTGAAAAAAAACCCAGGCGAAGCAGCAGCAACAGCAGCAACAGCAGCAGCAGCGGGGGAGCAGGCAGGCGCTTCTGAGGAGGTCGGCGTGACACGAGATGGAAAGAAAGCGGGAACTGCAGGAGGGGGGGCAGCGGGAGGGGGAGAACTGGCGGTGGCAGGAGCAGGGGCAGGAGGTGGAAAGGAGGCGGGGACGGAGCTGGGGAAGGGGATCTGGAAGGGGATGGGCAAGGGGGTGGGGATGGGGGTGGGGCATGATTTGGAAAAGGAATTGGAGAAGGAGTTGGGGAAGGAGCTGTTCATCATGGGCGCGGACGGGAAGAGGCGGTTTAAGGGGAAGCGGGAGGCCGTGGAGGCGATGGCAGCAGCAGCAGCGGCCGTAGAGAGGGGCGACATGACCGGGTTGGTCCCCACTGAGTCGAAGCTGGGGGAGTTTTATGAGTTCCTGTCCGCTGCTCACCTCACTCCGCCCGTGCAAGGTGAGCGCCCTGCTGTCCTGGTGCGGAAAGAATCTGCGAAGGGAAGGCATCTGTGACACGTGGTAAGGCTGCCTAGTTCCCTGACATGTCATACTGAAAGGTGAAGCATCTGTAATGTTAGGAATCCAGGCATAGGAGCTGCCCCTTGATGGAGCGTCTAATGCATTCGTCAGATGCATTCGTCTCATTGAACCATGCCAATACCATCTGTGGAAACCCGCGTGCATCTGGAGCAATGCTAACGCCCTCCCTTCCTCGTGGTTTGCTCGTTTTCTCCCGGTTGTTTCCCTTGTCTGTGCTTCCCTGTCACTTGCTCTGCTCGTCCCTTTGTTCCTGCAAATTCGGTCACCTTTCCTTGTCCAGGGCAACACGACACTGCTCCTTTCCTTGACTCTTTTTTGCCTCCAATTGAAGCTCACCTCATATTCATCTGCCGTCCACTTAAACCAGCTCCGCACTCTCTCCCTCCTCACCTTTCCATCCCTGGCACTCGCCGCTCCGTCCGCACCTCTAATCCACAGCCATCCGCAGGTCTCTCCGCCAGACCACCAAGGGAAAGGCGGCGGTGAACAGTAATGCACTGGACATGCCCGATATGGGCTCTGAGCTCTTCCCCATAGAGGTGGGTGCTGGCCCAAGTGCCTGGTGGTAGGGGTTCTCATACAGGCGGATAACTTCTGTGAGTTATTGCAGCCATCTGCGCTGCTGGTCTCTCCGCCAGACTGCCAACGGGAAGGCGGCGGTGAACAGCGACGCACTGGTCTGGACATGCCCGATATGGGCTCTGAGCTCTTCCCCGTCGAGGTGGGTGCTGCCCCAAGTGCCTGTGGCTCTCATACAGGTGGGTAGTTCTGTGAGTTAGTGCAGCCATCTGCTGCGCTGCTGGTCTCCCCGCCAGATTGGCAACGGGAAGGCGGCGGTGAACAGTAATGCACTGGTCTGGACATGCCTGATATGGGCTCTGAGCTCTTCACCGTCGAGGTGGGTGTCTTTTCTGTGCCATTGCAGCCAAAATCATCTAATACCACCACCTCCACTGAACGCTCCACTCTTCTTTTACCTTCCCGTGTTGGACATGCCTGATACTGGCTGGCTTGAGCTCTTCCCAACTGCTACAAGGCAACACCCGTAGTTGTTACTTAGGGGAGTCCTCCCTACCGCCCACCTGCCATTCATCAACCATCGTTCCTTGATGGGAAGGGCGGCGCGTTTCGTCCTTATAGTCTCTCTCCTTTTAGTCTCCTATCCTCATACAAGCCCCAATTCTCTTGCCTGCTGTCCATGCAGGTGCGGCTGTGCACGGGCAAGACAGTTCTGGTGGTTGCCACCACGCGTGGCTTCCTGTGTTCCGATGCCACCATCTTGCCTGTTGCCCAATACAGCTTGCCTCTTGCTTGTTGTTCACTGCCTGTCTGCAGGTGCGGCTGTGCACGGGCAAGACGGTTCTGGTGGTTGCCACCACCCGTGGCTTCCTGTGTCCGAGGAACAGGCTGCACGGATCAACACTCGTGGGGCTTCTGCGCCTCATGTGCAAGCCGTTCGCCAAGGTCAGTCAGTCACTTCTTCAGCTCGTGTGCAAGCCGCTCGCCAAGGCCAGTCAGTGCTCTCAGGCGGCTTGAAAGCACATGCTGCATGCCCTTCCGTGTCTGAGGAAGGAACAGGCTGCACGCCTCCACACTCGTGGGGCTCCTGCGTCTCATGTGCAAGCCGTTTGCCAAGGTCAGTCATTGCTCCCAGGCGGCTTGAAGCACACGCATGGGTTCCTGTGCTCAAGGCACAGGCTGCCCTTTATAGGCCTGCTACTGCTGCTGCGGCTGCTGCGCATGTGCAATCCGTTTGCTAAGGTCAGTCACGAATGCACCTCTTGTGCAGGTGATTTTTTAGAATTCTAAAAAATCACCTCTAGTTCAAGCCACTCGCCAAGGCCAGTACCACCCATGTTTTGGTGAAGAGGACTTCTTAAGGGGGCTTGGAGTTGTCACAAGGGGCATGTGCTGGCTGGGGCAAGAGGGAGCCGTCTCTCAAGGGTCCCTAGCGTTCCTTGCTCTTGCGCACCAGCAGTTGTCACAAGGGGTATGTGCTGGTTGGGGCAAGAGGGAGCCGTCTCTCAAGGGTCCCTAGCCTTGCCTTGCTGCCTTAGTCGTCTCCCTTACCGGAGGGCATGTCGTGCCCTTGAGGCAATGCTGATCACCCTGCGAACCAGCAGTTGTCACATAGGCTTTTGAGGCGCCTCAAAAGTCCTTACTGGAGGGCATGTCGTACACTTGAGGCAACGCTGATCATCCTGCGCACCAGCATCTTCCTTGTTTCACCACGCATGACCAGCCCCCTCTCCCTGCCCCCCTCCCCCTCCCCCTCGCCCTCTCTCACTCTCCTCCCCTCTCTGCCTCTCCTGCTCCCCCCTTCTCTCTCCCTCCCTGCTCTTCTCTGCAGGCCTACGATGGCCTCCTTGCATGAAATGAGGTACAGTTGCCTGACTGGATCAATCTCTCCTCTTCTCCTGCTTCCCCCCACCCCCCTTCTCCCTCCTCCCTCCCTGCTCTGCTCCGCAGGCCTACGATGACCTCCTTGCATTCTTCCTCGAAAGGAACAAGGTACAGGCTCCTGGCTACTTTTGCCTCTACACTGGTCCTCCTTACAGTGTTCTTACTCTACAATGTTCTTCTCTTCTCACTCCCCTTCTTCAGCTACGTGTTCTCCTGTTTTCCACCCCAAACGCCTCCCTCCCTTCATTCCCCCCGCTTCCGCCCTCTCCCACTCGTCTCTCCTTCCCCCTTCTCTCCCTTCTCTCTCCCCCCTCCTCCCATTACCTTCACCTTATCCATCCTTTCGACCTTGTCTCACCTCCCCTCCCCTACCTTGCGCCTGTTGGTCCTTACGCTCCCTCCCCTGGCAGTTTGGCAATACACCCTACGGCTTTCGGTCCAACACGTGGGTTGTCCCTCCTCTCGCCGCAGGTGCGCCAGCCCTCTACCCCCAACTCCCTATGGAGGATGAGGCGTGGGGAGGGAACGGGGGCGGCCAGGGCCGGGAAGAAGAGGATGAACAGGAAGCAGCTGGGAAGGAGGCGAGGCATAGAGAATCTAACATAGCAGTGGCGGCAACTGCAGCAGGAACAGCAGCAGAAGTAGGAGGTGCAACCACGACTGTAAAAAGCAGGGATTGGGCGAGGGACTTGGCAGTGCTCTCTCTCCTCCCCTGCGACACTCCAGAGGAGCGGGTGGTGAGGGATCGCAAGGCGTTCCTCCTGCACTCTCTCTTTGTGGATGCTGCCACACGCAAGGCCGTTACTGTCATCAACACTGCCGCAACAGCTGCAGCTGCAGCAGCTGCTGGGGCTGGGGCTGACGCGGTCACTGCAGCTCAGGCACCGGCGCTGGTTCCGGCTGCCGAACCTGCGGTGGCAGGTTCGGACGCAGCAGAGGACCGGGGGGTGCTGCTAGTGCAGCAGCTGGGGGCGCTGCGTGTGACTGTAATGAAGGGTGAAGAGGACCCGAGTGGGAAGGTGCTGTCGAAGGTGGATGTGGGGTGGAGGAGGGCGGTGGAGGGGGAGGAGGAGAGGGAGTGTATGGTAACGAGGAGCCTTCTAAAGGGGATATCAGCGGATGAAAGCACAGCAGTGCATGTAAGTGGGCCTGCTACTCCTTTGCTGTGTACCCCCCACGCCAAATGTCTCCACTTTTGAGATATTTTCCAGAATTGTAAAAAAAATGAGTGCTCCCTTTCTCTTCTGTGATCAGGACTGGATTTTCGTGGAGCTGTTTTCTGTGCGTTGCTTGGCCTCACAGCTTGGGTGACAGTCCCTTGTTTTCCTCTTCCTCACTCCCCACCTGTGAAGGCACCATACTCCTCGCCCCCCTTTTCCTGCCTCTCTTCCTTCCTCGCCCTGCAACAGGACCTCGAGTCCCTGGGCACAGTCATTGAACAATTTCGTGGCCTTACAACCCGAGTGGCTGTCCTTGGCTTTTCAGCCTACCGCTCTCCCACCACCCTCGCTAGAGCGTCTTCCTTGGCCCTCCACCCCTCCGCCCGTTCCCCCAACAGGACCTAGAGTCCCTGTGCATGGTCACTGTGCTCTTCTGTGGCCTCACAGCCCGAGCGACTGTCCCTACTTACCCTATTAATCTGCTTATCTCTCCCATTCCCCCTGTCCGTTCTTCCTCGCCTTCTCTGATACCAGGACCCGGAGTCCCTGGGCTGGGCACAGTCATTGTGCACTTCCGCGGCCTCACAGCGCGAGTGCCTGCTCCTACTGTTCCCACTCATTTGCCTTTCTCTCCCCTTTCCCCCCTGTCTGTTCCTTCGCCTTCTCTGATACTAGGACCTGGAGTCCCTGGGCAGAGTCATTGTGCACTTCTGTGGCCTCACAGTGCGAGTGACCGTTCCTGCCGCCCCTGCCCTGCTTCTCTCTCATTTTGCCCCCTGTCATCCCTGTCCGTTCCTCCTTGCCTTCTCTGATACTAGGACCTGGAGTCCCTGGGCACGGTCATTGTGCACTTCCGCGGCCTCTCAGCGCGAGTGACCGTCCCTGACGCCCCTGCACGCGCCCAGCATCTACAGGCGCAGCTGCAGGCGCTGAGGGTTACGAAGGCAGAAAAGTTGGGTGAGGAAAGAGGTGGCGAGGAGGAGAAGGGTGGAATGACAATGGATGGGGAAGGGAGTGGGAATGGGGAGGGAGATGGTAGGGTAAAGGCAAAGGGAAGAGAGGAGGAGAAGAAGGAGAAGGAGAAGGAGCAGGGGGATGGAAAGGAGGAGGAAGAGAAGCTCTTGGAGTTGGATATTCCGGAGCAGCGAGATGCAGGCGCCAATGCACTGAACCCCAACAGGTAATGAATAGTGTGAGTGTGTGAGTGTGAGTGTGATCACATGCATGTCTAGCGACGAGGCAAGAATAGCATAAGTGTGGCTTTTCTCTGTGTCTGTTTTTGCAGCATCTCTGAACTTTCTTAGAATTATTTTTGCGAAGTGTGCATCGGGGGCAAAGTATCCCATGCTACTGAACAGTACCTGTACACAATCCTGCTTTCCTTATCTATTTGTAGTCTTGTATCAACACTCAGGCTTCACAAAATTGCACCTCTGTCTTCTACGTCCGCACTCCTCCTTTCAGTGCACTCGTTTCACCAATGCTCATCCACTCTCCTCCTCACCTCTTCCTCTGCTGCAGCCTCCGGATCCTGCTGCACGCTGCTATGGGCAGTCTGCCTCCCCCTGCTGCTGCCGCTGCTGCTGCCTCGGCCGCTGCTTCTGCTGCTGCTGAAGCGTTGGTGCGTCAGACTCTATCTCTTGGTCTCGCTCAACTGAAGCAGGAAGAGGAAGCAAGGCGGAGAGAGAGGATGGCGACGAAAACCACCCCAGCAGAGAATGCTGGAGAGGGAGTGGGTGGAGCGACTGAGGTGGGGAACGGACCGGTGGAGGGAGGGGTGGTGGCAAAGGGAGAGGCAGTGGAGGGCACAGAAGCGGGCGAAAAGGGCGAAGAGGTGAAGGGGGTGAGGGAAGGCGACGGCGTGGAGGGAGTTGAGGAGGCTACGAAGGTGGTGGGGGAGGGTGGGAAGAATGTTGAGGGTGGGAAGAATGTTGAGGGTGGGAAGAATGTTGAGGGTGGGAAGAATGTTGAGGGTGGGAAGAATGTTGAGGGTGTGACGGAGGAAGAGGGTGGGACGGAGAAAGAGGAGGGGGATGTGTTTGAGGATGGCATTCTGAGGTGGGAGCTCGGTGCCTGCTGGGTGCAGCACCTGCAGAACCCGCCACAGGTTGAGGGGAAGGAAGGGGAGAGCATGGAGGAGAAGAGTAAAGAAGTGGAGGCACAGGAGTTGGAAGGCAAGGAAAAGGAGGGGGTGGAAGCAGCCAGAGGAGAAGGGAAGGAGGAAACGGCAGGAGAGAAGAGCAAGGGAGCAGAGGAGGTGAATCTGGAAAAGTCCGGAGCGAAAGAATCCGCTTCAAATGCGGGCGCAGTAGGAGCAGCAACTGGCACTACTGAAGCTGCTGCTGCTGCTGCTGCTGCCCCTGCAGATGCTTCTGGGGAGGGAGAAGCAGCAGCTGGCGGGGTGAAGCAGGAACCTCGGGCAGCAGCAACGCAAGGGCAGGAGTTGCTGCGGCTGTTGGGAGAGAGCAAGTACGAGAAGATCAAGAAGGCTGACGTGGGACTGCACTCCATGGTGAGCCCCTCTGAGTCTGCACGCCCTGGTGAGCTGCTCTGAGTGACTAAGTCTGTATGCTACCATGCGAGAGCAAGTGTGGCAGGCATCTCTGCCCTGACAGCAGCGACGCCAGGGCGGGAGTTGCTGCGGCAGTTAGGAGAGAGCAAGTATGAAAAGCTTAAGGATGTGACTTTTGAGTCGACTAGAAAGTCACCTCACTTAGGAGAGAGCAAGTATGAGGAGCTCAAGAAGGCTGACGCGGGACTGCACATCATGGCTTGTCGTTAGCTGCCTGGCCACTTCCCTGAGTTACATTCCACTTCATGTTGTTGTCATTCCACTTGTGGTTGACTCCTTTTTCCTTTCCCCTTCTGTGTGCCGTTGGTCTAGAGTCCATCTAGGAGCTCAAGCAGGGAGCACGAGACTTCCACAGGAGATGCTTTTTTAGGCACCTTAGATAATTGTGACACCCCACTTCGTTTCCCTTTCCCCTTCCGTGTGCCATTGGTCTACAGTCCATCCAGCAGCTCAAGCAAGGAGCACGAGACTTCTACAGGAACACTGCCCTTTCTAAGCTGGTATGTTTAAGTTTTTTTTGTTGCAGCTGGTAATGCACTTACCTCAATAGTGTCTTTACTACATTTCTTTTCTTGAAAGGCCCGATTCAAGCTTTTTATTATTATTATTATTATTAAATTTACAAATATTGATGCATTCTCCCAGTTACGTGACCCTTTCTCTCTGCTCCCCTCCTCCATTACCCTCTCAACTCAAGGTATCTGATTGTGCTTCCGAGCTCTCCTTTGTGGATGGTACCTCGCTCACGCACTCTCGAGTCGAGGCTTGCGCCTGGTGTCCTTATCCTCCCCTCTCCACTCCTCTCCCCCCCCCCCTTCCCTCCTGCCCATATTTTCCTCCGTTTCCTTCTCAAGGTCTCCGATTTCGCCTCTCTGGAGCTCTCCCCTGTGGATGGCCGCACGCTCACTGACTTCATGCACACTCGTGGCTTGAGGATGCGGTCCCTCGGAAAAGTGGTCAGTGCCCTACTCTCCTCTTATCTCATTCGCGGGTTTGTCACATGCTTTCTGCTGGTTCGCTGCTGTTCGATCTCCCCTGTGGATGTTTGCACACTCACTGTCTCCAGGCACCCTCGCGGCCTTCGCATGAGGTCCCTTGGCAAGGCCGTGAGTGCACTGCTCTGCTTTCATTTTCGAGGCACAAACAGGCGCACCCATCTGCTCTGCTTTCATCCAGATGGGTGATCTTTCGCAGACTGACAGATTTTGTTTTCCTTTGTTTTTTCTGTGTGACTCAAAAAGTTGTCACACTGTGCTCTGTTTTCATCAGAATGGGTGGTTTGATTGACAAGGGACCATAGAGTCAGTCAGAGCAGCAGCGAATGAAGGAAGGCTATAGTCCTCCCCAAAATTTCAAAAAGAAAAGCATGTGCTAGCCTCCTAGGGCATGGTAGAACGAAACTGCACTCCTCCCTCCTCTCCTTCCCTCCATCAACCCCCTTCTCCCCATCCTCCCTCTCTCCCCCTCTCCTCTTCCCCCTCCAACACTTCCCCCTTGGACTCTTATGCTTTTCCGCCACATCGCAGGCTGCACTAGCAGACAAGCTCCCCCACGTGCGGTCCTTGGCAGTACATGAGATGGTGGCGCGGGCGCTCAAGCACGTTCTCCAAGCTGCTCTGACCGCCGCTGCTGTTGCGTCAAGCCCCCCGCTCGCAGCCTGCATTGCTGCTGCTTTCAGCGCCATCTTTGGCTCGTCCATGCATAAGCAGGGGGCAAGCACCGTCTCCAGTCACAATAACAACAGCCAGGATGAACCTTTTTCGGATTGTGGAGAGGGAGGGAAGGGGAGGGGAGCAGAGGAAGCAGAGGCGGCGCTGGGAGGCATGGTGTGGCAGTGGGTGCGTGTGTTTGTGCACGTGCGGTTTGGGTTCAACCTGGACGATGAGACTCTGGCAGGTCTTCGCATGCTGTCTCTTCTCAGAACCCTCTGCCTTAAGGTGTGTGGGTGGGTGGGCCTGCTTCTCCTATGGTTGGAAGGCATGGTGTGGCAGTGGGTGTGTCAGTGGGTGGCAGTGGGTATGGCAGTGTCTGTACGCGTGTTTGTGCGCGTGCGGTTTGGGTTCAACCTGGACGATGAGACTTTGGCAGGCCTGCGCATGCTGCCTCTGCTCAGAACCCTCTGCCTCAAGGTGGGACTCATGGGGCTAAAGGTAGTCTCGCTATTTCCGTGGTTGAGGCATGGTGTTGCAGTGGGTGCGCTTGTCTGTGCGCATGTGGTGTAGGTAGGTGTAATCGCACAATGACAGGCCGGCACATGCTCTTGCTGCCCCAACCCTTCTGCCTCAAGGTGCCTGCGGCCGACTCACTTGTCTTGTTGCTCCTTCACATAGCGCCTTTCGTTGCATGCGACCCCATGCCCGTCCCGCCCACTGACATTCTTACCCATCTCTTGACGCCGCGCTCACTGGAAGATGTCCAGAAACTCGCCCATCTCTCCCACTGACATTTTTGCCTGCCGGGTGCTCGCTCCTCTCACTCTCTCCTCTCACCCTCTCCTCTCACCCTCTCCTCTCACCCTCTCCTCGCACCCTCTCCTCTCACCCTCTCCTCTCACTCTCTCCTCTCACCCTCCCCACTCACCCTCTCCTCTCTCATCCCTCCTCTCACTCCATCTCCCTCCCTTCAGGTGGGCATTGAGATGGCGCCCAAGTCGTACGACTTCAGCGATGCCACGCCCTTCCAGCCCACCGACATTGTCGCCATGGTTCCTGTGCTCAAGGTCAGCCTCTGCCCCACGTGCCCAAACGTGTGGATAAAGGTCTAGTTGTTGTGAGACGTCTCAAAATGAGATCGCGGCCAAGTCTTACAACTTCAGCTTCAGCGTTGCCACGCCCTTCCAGCCCACCGACATTGTCGCCATGGTTCCTGTGCTCAAGGCCAGCCTCCTTCCCATGTGCCCAAGCGTGTAGCTACCCATCACTCATTTGCCCGAGGCCAGCTCTGTTCCGAGTGCCCAAGCATGTAGCTGCCCAAGCATGTCCTGTGTATGTAGCCGATTGCTGCACGCCACTTGAGGCACAGAGAAACAGCAAGCATCGCTCCCCTCCTTCCCCCTGTCAATCTTTAACCATCCCCTCGCTGCTCCTTTCCCCCTGTCAATCTTTAACCATCCCTTCGCTGCAGCACGTGCTGTGCACGTCAGCCGATGGCCGCACGCTGCTTGAGGCGTCCAAGGCGGCTCTGGATAAGGGCAAGCTGGATGAAGCTGTGACTTGTGGCACCAAGGTATGGAGAGATACGCAACGGTGGGCCCTACTGTTTTGCCCCGTGCTGCATGACAGCGGGTGCTTGCAGCCTGGTCTACGGCACAGGTGCATAGAAAGGGTACCAAGTTTTTGGGCGCCTCAGAAATCAGCGTAGTGTGCATTACAGGTGCGTAGTAGTAGGTAGCGCACCAAGCTCAGTGCAGTGTGTGGCGGCCACCATCTACGTGCGTGGTTATTCTTCAACGAGGCGACCATCTATCCCTCCGCTGCCTTCCCTCTGCCACATGTGACTGCAGGCTCTAAACAAGCTCATCGCAGTGTGCGGGGCCCACCACCGCATGACAGCTGGAGCGTACAGCCTCCTGGCAGTGGTGCTGTACCACACAGGGGACTTCAATGAGGCGACCATCTACCAGCAGAGGGCGCTGGATATAAACGAGAGGGAGCTGGGGCTGGACCATCCTGATACCATGAAGAGCTACGGGGACCTTGCAGTGTTCTACTACCGCCTGCAGCACACAGAGCTGGCCATCAGGTAGGGTGTGTGCTGTGCGTGGATGTGCACTGAGATGAGGTACCTCTAGCCAGGGAGTTGGGGCTGGGCTGGACCACCCTGACCTCGCGGTATTCTACTCCCGCCTGCAGCACACAGAGCTGGGTATCAGATGGGTGTTGGCACGGGGCTCTAGGGGAGTGGGGGAAGTGTGACTGGTGCAGGAGTGTACGTTGAAGTGCCTCTGAATTGGAGCTCTTTGAGAATTCTCAAGAATCTCTCACAAGGGCTGGACCAACCCGACACCAAGACAAGCTACGGGGACCTGGCTGTCTTTGAGTCGACTCAAAAGGGGGCCTGGCTGTCTTGTACTACCGCCTGCAGGACACAGCGCTGGCTAACAGATGGTTTTTGAGTCGACTCAAAATTCACTTTGGGGACCTGGCTGTCTTGTACTACCGCCTGCATGCAGAACACAGCGCTGGTTAACAGGTGGCTGTGGAAGCAGTAGATGAGGTGTGCGTGGCACATCCTTAATGCGATTTTTGGCATCAAATCACAGCTGGACTGCTCCCGTTTACTCCCACCCCACCTAACTCCCCTTCCCCCCTCCTCCATGCCTCCTCCTCTCCCCTCCCCTCCCCTCCCCTTCCCTGGAACCCCCCTCCCCCCAGGTACGTGCATCGGGCGCTGTATCTGCTGCACGTGACGTGCACGCGGAGCACATCTTGACTTCTTCCTCTTACTCTCTCCCCCCCCCCCCTTCCACAGGTACGTGCACCGGGCGTTGTACCTGCTGCACGTGACGTGCGGGCCTGACCACCCCAACAGTGCAGCAACGTACATCAACCTGGCCATGATGCACGAGGGGCTGGCCCACGTGCACCTGCCGCTGCGCTACCTGCACCGCGCGCTCAAGTGCAACCACCGCCTGCTGGGGCCGGACCACATCCAGACGGCGGCGAGCTACCACGCCATTGCCATCGCGCTCTCGCTCATGGACGCGTACTCGCTGTCCGTGCAGCACGAGCAGACCACGCTCAACATCCTGCAGGCGAAGCTGGGGCCAGATGATCTTCGAACCCTGGTAAGTAAGACTTTTCCTTCTCTGATCGTTCATGGACGCGTACTCGCTATCTGTGCTGCACAAGCAGGCCACGCTCAATATCAGAGTCCTTCGAGAGCAAGGCAGCAGTGCAGCAGGAGGCTCCTACTGCCACTCTCTCTCGCTTGCCACCATTATCCCATTCCCCACTTTGCCCGTGGCCTCCCCTTCCCCCCTTCCTTCCCCAGGACGTGGCAGCGTGGCTGGAGTACCTTGAGAGCAAGGCGGCGGAGCAGCAGGAGGCAGCCTCTCCTCTACTCCGTCTCTCACTGTAATCACCCTTTAACAATCTTTCTTTCCCCCTTCCCCCGGACGCAGCAGCGTGGCTGGAGTACTTTGAGAGCAAGGCAGCAGAGCAGCAGGAGGATACCTCCCCACGCTCTCTCTGCATTGCCACCATTATTCCACTCCCCACTTAGCCCGTGGCCTCCCCTTCCCCCCTCCCCAGGACGTGGCAGCGTGGCTAGAGTATTTTGAGAGCAAGTCGGCGGAGCAGCAGGAGGTAGCCTCTACTCCTTCTGTCACCGTAATCAACCGTTGACAATCTCTTTTTCCCCCCTTCCTTCCCCAGGACGCGGCAGCGTGGCTGGAGTACTTTGAGAGCAAGGCAGCGGAGCAGCAGGAGGCGGCACGCACAGGCACACCCAAGCCAGACGCCACTATTGCGTCCAAGGGGCACCTCAGGTGAGGGTCGCATTGTGTTTTCTTGTATTTTCCTTACCCCCCACGCTGCATTGTGTCTGCCTGCTGTTTGTCATCACCAACGAAGAGCGGGGCGGCCGTTTGTCCTTCCACCCTGCTCACCAGTCTCTCTTCTCCTTCCCTCTTTCCCTCCCTTCTCCTCCCCACCACCAGCGTGTCTGACCTGCTGTCGTTCATCAACGACGAGGCGCAGGGGCGTTCGGCTGTCCTTACTGCCCTACTCTGGTCAGATGTCGCCTCTTTCCCTCACTTTTCCTCCCCTCTTTCCCTCTCTTTTCCTCCCCTCTTTCGCATTCTTCTCCTCCCCACCACCACTCAGCGTGTCGGACCTGCTGTCGTTCATCAACGACGAGGAGCAGGGGCGGATGGAGGTGATTCAGGAGATCATGGGCAAGAGGGGCAAGCGCTCCTCTCACAAGGTAAGAGATAACAGAACGAGGTGACTTTTGAGTCGACTCATCCTTAAATCATGGGCAAGAGGGGCAAGCGCTCCTCTCACAAGGTAAGAGAGATCAGGGCGTTTTGAAGAGTGCACCGAGGTGGAAATCAGGGTGGACTCCCAAAGCAGCTCAGTTCACACAAGCCACGCCATGGGTACCTCATTCATTCCCTGGCACTCTCCTGATGTTTCTATCTTCCCCTCCACATCCCGCCTCCCCCCACACCCCACTCCCACCTTTCTCCAACCCCCCCCCCCCCCGCGCCACTCTTCCGACCAGCCCAAGCCCAATAGGGCCGTAGCCATAGCAGCAGCCCCACATGGCCCATCCACCTACAGCGAAGAAGGGGCTGAGAGAACCAGCACTGCAGCTGTTAAAGCTTCTTCTCCTGGCGAAGCTGCTGTTACCGGAGCTGCTTATAACGAGGTCACTAAGGCGGGTGACGGTTCTACTGTGGCAATCGAGTCAGGTGTTGCTGCAGGGCAAGTAGAGGCGGGAAAAGGGCTGGTTCCCAGCGCTGAAGCAGCAGAAGCAGCAGCAGCAGCAGCAGCAGCAGCAGCAGCAGCAGCAGCAGCAGCAGCAGCAGCAGCCGCTGCTACTGCGACTGCAGTCCCTGCTGCTGCGGCTGCTGCTGCTACCTCTGAAGGGGATGACTCTGACGGTTGGCAGACTGCCTGCAGCCGCGCACACAGGCTCGGCCACCAGCGCAAGACACCAGCACACAGGATGATAAGCGTGGGTGTTGTGGGAAAGAGAGGGGACGCTAGGGGTAGACGGGTCGTTCTGCAGCAGCAGATGCAAACAGGAGCAGCAGGAGCAGCAGTTGGGGTAGTAGCAGGGGAAAACAGCAGGCAGAAGGTCGGTCCTGGTATTTCACCAGTCACTCCTACCACCACTGTGTCTACTGCCCCCAATGCTGTCGCTACCACAACTGCTCCGTGTACTGCTGCAACAGCTGTTGCTGCTGCTGCTGTTGGTGCTGCTGGTTCTGTTGCTGCAGCTGTTGGAGCTGTTGCTGCTGGTGCTGCTGCTGCTGCTGCAGGCCCCAAGGTCCTGACTCCAGCACTGCCTAAAGCAGAGGGTGAGAGGAAAAACGCTTGGGGCCGGGGCGCCGGGACTAAGACGGCTGCCCCTGCAGCAGCTGCTGCCACTACTTCTACTCCAACTGCTGGTACCGTTGCTGCTGCTCCTACTGCTGCTACTCCTACTGCTGCTGCCCCTACTGCTGCGGCTCCTACTGCTGCGGCTCCTGCTGCTGCGGCTCCTACTGCTGCTGCTGCTAGTAGTAGTACTGCTTCTGCTCCTACTGCTAGTGCTCCGGCTACTGCTTCTCCTGCTGCTTCTCCTGCTGTTACTGCTGTCGCTTCTCCTGCCCCTGCTCCTGCCACTCCTACAGTTCCCGCTACTCCTGCGCTTATGTCTGCTCCTGCTGCTTCAGCAACTTCTGCTGCTGCCACAATTGCTCCTCCTCCTCCTCCTGCAGCTGCTGCTCCTGCTGCTGCTCTTGCTGCTCCTGTTGCTCCTGCTGCTGCTCCTACCGCTGCTCCTCCTGCTGCTCCCACTGCAGCAGCTTCTAAGAGGACTTCTGTGCCGCCACCAGGACCCATGACCCGCTCTTGGAGAGAGATCGCTCTCTTGCCACCTGGCACAACGCCACTGGCTGCTGCACCGATGGCGTCAGAAGCTGGAGCCGAACCAGCTGTGACCAATAAAACGGTTGCTGCCACAGTTGTTGCTGCAGCAGCCACTACGAGCACGGGGTCTGGCAGTGCCATAAGCTCGGGTGTCTCACCAGTGTCGGCCGCAGGCACAGTTATCGCGACTACTGCAAAGAGCAGCAAGAAGCAGGAGCAGATGGAGGGAGGAAAGGAGGGAGAGGGAAGGAAGGGTAGTGGAGTGGATGGGAAGGCGGATGAGTGCGTTGAGAAGGTGGGGGCTGCTGCTGCTTCCACTGCTGCGACTGGTGTTGCTACTGCCCCTACAGCTGCTGCTGTGGGTACTGCCGCTGCTGCCGCTGCTGCTGCTGCGGCCACTGCTGGCACTGCTGCTTCAGCTGGTTGTGCAGATACCAGTGCCAGTGCTGTAGCCCCCAGTGGAAAAGCACCAGTACCGATCAGCACCAGCACAAGCAATAGTAGCAGCATCATTATTATCAACAGCAGCAGCAGCGGCGGCAGCAGCAGCAGTGAGAGTGTTGCCACACCTGCTGACTCTTCCTCTCCCACTACCACACACAGCCCCTCCAAGGTGCACAGCCCTACCAAGGTGCAAAGCCCCTCAAAGTCGCTGCTCTCTCCCCTCGCATCACCTTTCCATCCAGGTGTCCCTGCTCAAATCGGCACCACCACTACAATCCCTACTGACCCCACACTCAAGATCCATGACAGTTCCTCCCCTCTCCATCTCTCTCAACCTCCCCCAACCGAACTCCACACTCCCCCACCTGCCCCCTCCTCTGCTCCACCGACAAGTGACCCTGCAAATGGTGAGGCTGCTGCCTCAGCAGCTGTTGCACCTTCGGCAGCAGCCCCTGTAGCAGCTGTAGCAGATGTAGCAGCACCAGCTGCAGTGCCAGTACCAGCGCCAGTAGCACTGGCTGTAGCACCGGATGTAGCAGCTGAGACAGGAGCGCCAGTGGTGACGCCAGTAGCAGCGCCGGTGCTTGCTGGCCCCGTGCTACAACCCTTGATTCCACTCCATGTGCACCCAATGATGGTTCCTCCCCATGGGTACATCCCACCAGGTCACTACAACATGGCATACCACCATCACCCTTATTATCATCAGCCACAGGCTCACCCACATGTGCACTCACATGCGCACTCACACCATCACCACATGCAGCAGCAGCAGCAGCAGCCTGATCAGGATCACTACATGCAGCAGCAGCAGCAGCAGCAGCAGCGCTACAGCCACCGCTACAACCGGCCAGCATTCATCCCACCCAGGTTCCTGCGCAACGCTGCCGCTACAGCCGCTGCCGCTGCGTCTCTTAGTGGTGCCCCTGCTGTGGCACCCCCTGCCATTACCATGCCCACACACATGCCTCTGGGTGTGCCTGTGCCGCTTCCCAATGCTGTGCCCATGTACTATGTTCCAGTTGCTGCCGATGGCTATGCTGCTGCTGCTGCTCCAGCCGCAAGCACTATTGGTGCTGCTCCATCTCCTGTCCCTGCAGTTGTTAAACCGGTGCTTTCAGGGGATGACTTTCCCCCTCTTCCTTCTCCTTCCTCTTCTCCTGCTCCTGCTCCTGCTCCTGCTCCTGCTTCTGCCGCACCTGCTCCTTCTGGTGCCAGTGACCCTGCTGCTGTGGCTATCCCTACTGAAGGCTCTCAAGGCGACAACGCCTCTGCAGCTGCAACTGCACCTGATGCTACAACAGCAGCTAAAGTTGTAGCAGCAACTGAGGTTGTGGCAGCAACTGAGGTTGTAGCAGCAACTGAGGTTGTGGCAGCAACTGAGGTTGTAGCAGCAACTGAGGTTGTAGCAGCAACTGAGGTTGTAGCAGCAACTGAGGTTGTAGCAGCAACTGAGGTTGTAGCAGCAACTGAGGTTGTAGCAGCAACTGAGGTTGTAGCAGCAACTGAGGTTATAGCTGCAACTGAGGTTGTAGCAGCAACTGAGGTTGTGGCAGCAACTGAGGTTGTAGCAGCAACTGAAGATGTAGCAGCACCTGTGGCTGTACCAGCTCCTCTGGCTGTATCAGCACCTATGGCTGTAGCGGCACCTGAGGTTGCAGAGGATGGTGCAGCGGCGGCTGAGGCTCTAGCACCTGAGATTGAGGCTGAAGCAGCACCTGAAACTGGACCTGAGGCTGTAGCAGCACCTGAAACACCTGAGGCTGTAGGATCACCTGAAACTGTTGAGGCTGTAGCATGTCCTGAAACTGTACCTGAGGCTGTAACAGCACCTGCGGTGGATGAAAGTCCGGTAGCTGACTCGTGTGTGGCACATGCACCAGCAACAGCAGCAGCAGCAACAGCAGCACCAGCAACAGCAGCAGCAGCAGCAGCAGCAGCAGCAACAGCAGCAGCAGCAACAGAAGCAGCAGCAATAGCAGCACCAGCAACAGCAGCAGCAGCAACTGCTGCAGACGCAGCGCCAGCAGCATCGTCAGCACCTGCTGCAGTGGTCATGAGCCCACATGCCGCATCATTCCAACCCAATGCCTCATCATCTCCACTCACCACTGCATCCCCCCACCCACCCACCTCCTCATCCCCAGCTGCTGTGAGCAGCACTACAAGCCCCCATGCTGCTGCCTCCACAACCCCTACTACCACTCTTAGGCCCATGAACCCCCACGCCCTTGTGTTTGTGCCAGGGAAATCTTGGGGCGCTTCTGGTGCTGCTGCAGCGCCAGAACCTGCAGCAGCAGCAGCAGTCACTGGCCCAAAGGTGGTGCCATGGCAAGCAGTGCTTACTTCTGGCGGCGATGCTGCTGGTGACGGTTCTGCAGGGGGTAAGGCAGCGGGAACAGGTGCTGGTGCTCGTGATGCGTCGGGGAGGAATGAGGAGAGGAGGAAGAAGCACAACAAGAGAGGGACCGAGGGCAGTGGTAAGAAGCAGGAGCAACAGTGGCAGCGGAAGGGGGAGACGAAGAGAGGGGAAGAAGAAGCGCAAGGAGCTATAAGGTCGGCAGTAGGGGAGGTGAATGGAAAGGGTTTAGAAGAGGAAGTGACAAGGGAGGGGGAAGAGAAGGGAAAGGAGAGTGAGGGGGCGATGGGTAAGGAGAGCGAGGAGAACGGAAGGGAGAGGGAGGAGGAGGGAGGGGAGAGTGAGGAGAAGGGAAGGGAGAGGGAGGAGGAGGTGAAAGAGATAGTGAAGGTGTGTATTTCCGAGACTGTAGTGGCAGGGGATAGTGGCCGTGAGCTTAATGAGGAGGAGGCAGAGGGAGAGGTGGCGAAGGGAAAGGGAGAGGCGGAGGAGAAGGTGGAGGAGAAGTCAAAGGGGGAGGAGAATACAGAGGGGGAGGAGAAGACAAAGGTGGAGGAGAAGACAAAGGTGGAGGAGAAGACAAAGGGGGAGGAGAAGACAAAGGTGGAGGAGGGGGAGGAGGGCGCAGAGGAGGATGAGCAAGTTGTTTCAATGATCCCGCTGAGCGATTCCGGAAGTGATCGAGAGAGTGAGGAGGGGACCGAGGGCGAAGGGATGGAGAGTAGGACGGATGGGAAGAAGCAGGCGGCCACAGAGGGAAGGCCGGGGGGGCAGGGGAAACCCAAGATGAAGGTGTCTCTGTCGTGGGCTGATATGGCTGACAGCATGGATGAGGAGGAGAGGGAGGGAGAAGGGGCAGAGAGGAAGGACGGGAAGAAGCAAGGCAAGATGAAGGTGTCTATGTCGTGGGCGGATATGGCGGATATGGCTGACTGCACGGACGAGAGTTCGGAGTCGACTCAGAAATCACCGAAGCCCAAGATGAAGGTGTCTATGTCGTGGGCTGATATGGCGGACTTCGTTGAAGAGGAGGAGAGGGCTGAAGCTGCCGCCACTGCTGCTGCTGCTGCTGCTGCGAATGGTACTGCAGAGACGAATAGGCAGATGAAGGATGGGACCGCTTCCTTTCCTGTGTCTGGGATGTCGGGGCCTGTGGATAAGGAGGTAGTGGGGGGAGGCAGGGGGGAGGACAGACAGCAGCACCACCACCACCAGCACAGGCATCACAGGCAGCACTGGCAGCACCCGCCGAAGCACGGACAGAATAGAGGGCGAGTGGAGCAGCAGCAGCAGCAGCCGCAGCGTCATCACCAACATCAGCAGCAGCAGCAGCAGCAGCAGCAGCAGCAGCAGCAGCAGCAGCCGCAGCAGAAACAGCATGGGCAGGAGCAGGAGGGGCAGAGGGCTCAGGGAAGGAGGCGAGGGTCCTCGGGAGCATCGAGGGGCACTTGGGCTCCAAAAACTGCTCTCCAACCACCTGTCAGGACTGACCAGGGAGTGGCAGAGGAAACCGCAGCTATTTCAGGAGTTTCAAGTGTTTCAGGTGGTTCAGGGGCTTCAGGAGTTTCCAATGGAGCCGGTATTTTAGGGGATGGAGAGGCACACACGGCGGCAGTTGCACGGGGGCCGGGTGGCGCTGGTAGTGGGGGGAGGTCAAGGGAGCGCAGGCCACGAGGGGGAAGGGGCGGGGGGAAATCACAGGGGAAGGCTCATGGTGCGGTGGAGAGTGGGGAGGGGAGTGCAGCAGAGAGGCATATGAATGGGACTGTAGAGGGAGTGAGTGCAAACAGAGTGGCTGACAGCGAAGCTGCTGCTGCTGCTGGTCATGGGGATGGGGGTGGGGAAGGAAAAGGGGAGGGGGAGGGGGAGGATGGATTTACAGTGGTGACACCAAGGAGGAAGAAGCCGCCACGCAGTGCAGGCAGCGGACGACAGGTAGGTTCTGTGCGGTCTTATGCGGTGCTATGAGGTGGTACATGCTTTTGGTAGGTTGCAGGTGGTTGGAAACAAGTGGTGGGCCATATTCTGACACCTCCCAAGGGCTAGGTTGCTTATTTTCGTATGATTATTCGGGCTCGAAACTCAGGATGAAAGTTCTTCCCCTCCCATCATTTTCATCAGGCATGAGTTAGCCCGATATGCAAGATCACTCTCTGCAAGTCTGGCTGGCCTCCTCTCTCCACCTCTCTGTTTCCCATCCATCCATTCGCCTCCATCCATCTCTTTTTGTCTCATCCAACCGTTTGCCACCCATCCATCCGTTCTCGTCTCATCCAACAGGTGCCACCTAGGCAGAATCAGCCGCAGCAGCAGCAGCTGCAGCAGCAGCAGCAGCAGAATGGCACAGCTGCACCTACTGGGAGCGCAGCAAACGGCAATGACAACCACAGCCACCACCATCGTCGCCGCAATCACCACCACCGCCGGGGGCCCAAGACAGGTGCTGCTGGGGGAGCTGCAGCAGCAGCAGCAGCAGCAGCAGGGGGGGGGGGCGAGAGGGGTGAAGCAGGCTTAGCGACAGCTGCTGCTGCGGCTGCAGCAACAACAGCAAAAGCTGCGCCAGCGACAGCAGCAACCGCCACAGCAACGATCCCCGCTGCGGCTTGAACGCTGGTTGTAGCAACCGCAACAAAAGGAGCTCTCGTTTTTGCATCGTTGAACTCTAGTTGCTCCCCTTGAACCCTGGTTGTATTGGTACTGGTGCTGGTAGCAGCCCGCTTTGTCTTGTTTTTCCTGCTTTACATCAATTCCACTTGTCACTTGTGTGTTCTTCTTTCATTGGTTGATTTCTAAGGACCTTTTGTTGCAAAGGGTGTCAAGAGACGCTGGGGTTGCCTGGGGAAGGGTTACAGGCCATCTCTCTGCCTGAGGGGTTCTGGGTGCATAGTGTCAACTTATACATACATTTATATGTAGAAGTTATAGGCTAGAATAGGTCTATGTTCTTAGAGAGTACAACCCAACCCTATATCTTGCTTGTTCTCTCGTTTTCATTCATTCTAGTATTCTAAGATGGTGTCATGCGTAGGTTAGGTCTTCCCACCCGCTTCCCCCCCACGCCCTAGCCTACCGCGCCTAGCCGGCCCCTGGCGCCATAGCCGGCCCCTTATGTCCTAGTCGGCCCCTGGCGCCGTAGCCGGCCCATTACGCCCTAGTCGGCCCCTCGCGCCCAGCCGGCCCTCCCTCGCGCCGTAGCCGGCTCCTCGCGCCTTCGCCAGCCCCTCGCGTCGTCGCCAGCCCCTTCGAGCCGTCGCTGGCCCCTCGCGCCGTAGCCGGCCGCTCGTGCCGTAGCCGGCCCCTCACGCCCTAGCCGGCCCCTCGCGCCGTTGCCGGCCCCTCGCGCCCGACCGGCCCCTCGCGCCCAGCCGGCCCCTCGTGCCCTAGCCGGCCCCTTGCGCCGTAGTCGACCCCTCATGCTGTAGCCGCCCCCTCACGCCCTAGCCGGCCCCTCGCGCCGTTGCCGGCCCCTCGCGCCCAGCCGGCCCCTTGTGCCTAGGCTGCCACTCGCGCTTAGCCGGCCCCTTCTCGCGCCGCCGCTGGTCACCCACTCGCATAGCCGGTCCCTCTCACCCAGCCAGCCCCTCGCGCCTAGCCGGCCCCTACCGCCTAGCCGGCCCCTCCTGTGCACCGCCGCCCCCACGCGCCTTGCCGGCTCCTCTCCACACGCCGGCCCCTTCCCGCACCTACCCGGCCTCTCGCACGCCTGGCTGACCCCTCGTACGCCTCGGCCCCTTGCGCGTCCGCAGGCTCCTCGCGCGCCCTCCTCGGTCTTCCATCCGGTCCCCGTTCTGGAGAGTCCTGCCGCCACGTCGCTGTATCACCATGTAGCTGAGTACTTGTGCTGCTGTGTCGCTGTGTTCCTGTGCCGCTGTGTCCCGGTGCCACTGCAGTTGCGCGATGGGGGACGCCATGCTACGTCTGGATGCGAAGGGGCACGCGATCGACTTCGCCGCCTGGCTTGTCGATCTTCGCCGGCACCTGACAGGTCAGCGCCAGGATGGGCACTCCCTGGCTATGCATGTTGATGGCTTCCTTCCTTGCCCCTCCACGCCTGATCCCCTCCCTGCTGACCCCACCACTGCTGAGAGTGAGGCATTTGCTGCTGCTGCGCTCGCTCGCGCTGTCTGGGACTCTTGCAATGCTGTAGCGCAGCTTGCCATTAGTCATGCGCTTCCCTTTTCTGAGTGTCCGCGTTTCACTGCTGACGCGAACGCCAAAGACTTCTTAGATGCAGTAGTTGCCCGCTAGTCCACACCCGCCTCCGCCTCCGCTGGCTGCTTGATCCTCCCCATGCTCTTCCCCGATCTCTCTGCTTTCCCCACTGTCGCTGATCTCGCCACTCACCTCGAGACTAGCTAACGCGCTGCTAGTACTACTGCCCAGATCACTGCCTTCTCCCCACCGTTCTGCGCTACCCTGTACCTTATTGCCATGCGCCTGCCTGATCGCTTAGCCACTGCCCGCGACCACTTCCTTAGTCAGCACCCTGGTAACCTCACCCTGACCGCTTTTGTCGCTGCCCTTTCTAAGATAGAGACTCGCCAGCGCACTATCGCTCAGTCGAGCGGTGTTGCGGCGGTCCCTATCTTTCAAGGCTGTGCTCCCTCCCAGTGCACGTACGCTGATGTTTTCGCCGCCGTCGCTACAGCTGCTCCTGCAGCTGAGACCGCAGCGGCGGCCTTTCTGCAGCAGCAGCGACAGCGTCGGGGCCGTCGCGTCCCCAAAGGAGGGTGTGGTGGTGGTGGCGGCGACAGTGGTTCTGACGAGGGGGCTGGGGCAGGTGTCCAGGAGCAGCAACAGCAGCCGCAGCAGTCGCAGAAACCGCAGCAGCAGGAGCCGCAGCAGTCGCAGCAGCAGCAGCAGCAGCCGTGGGCCCGCCTCCCGCCGAGGTGGCCGAGAGCCCCTAGAGGTGGTGACCGAGGTGGCGGTCCTCGCAGCTCGGTGTCTACCGGCGGCTTCAGTGTTGTGGGCTGCCAGTACCAGCTCCAGACCTGGTCCCTCCGTGGCAAGGTGTGCTGCCGCCCGCACCCGACCGCCCGCTGCTTCCGTCGCCTCGACGACCTCTTTTGTCGCCGCTTCGGCCCGGCCCCGGACCTCCCTGACTGGCCCAGTCTGCTGCGTCACGGAGTGCCTATTTTTTACTAAGACATGGATCAGATTAGTTCTGCCTTGCATTCTCTGTATGATGACGCTTCTAGTGTGTCCGGATCTTATTACCCTGTGTTCTCTAGCTTAGGCGTAGCACCTGTGTGTAGTACAGAAACCCCTGCTGCGTCAAGCGTAGGACCGTTTGCTTTGTCTAGTCTAGGCTCCACACTCGCTCCTCCTTCGTCTGCCGCTTCTGCTTCGCTTTCCTTCACCCTTGACTCCGGAGCGTCTGCCTGCTTCTTTCGTAACCACGCCACACTCACGCCTGCCGTTTTCGCACTTGCTGACCCCTCTTATGGTCCTGTCGTTGCTCGCAGCTACACTACCCTTCCCTGTCCAGCGGTCCCCTCGGGTTCCCTTACGGGCCTGCACATCCCTTCGTTCTCCAAGAACTTAGTTGGTGTCGGCTGTCTTCAGGACCTCGGCGTCACCACTGCGTTTCCTGGTCACGAGCCGTACGCTGCCTGTACCGAGGCCCACTCAGGTTCCCCCCTTGCGTCGTTTCCCCAGGACCCAGTGTCTGGCCTGTTTCACTGGACATTGCTTCCCCCCCGGTTGGCACGTCCTCCCCGGGTCTTGCATCTATCCAGGTTGCTGCGGCTTGCTCGTGTCGGTCGCTCACTCACCCGTCGCTTCTGTGGCACCACCGTCTAGGTCACCCCGCACTCCCGCGCCTGCGTCACATGTCTCAGCACGGTCTCGTCCTCGGTCTCCCTGCGTCGCTTCCTGCCCTCCCTCCCTCACCTGCGCCACCGTGCACGCCCTGCGTCGAGGGCCGGCTGCGCCACGCTCCTTACTCCTCCTCTCTTTGTCTTGCCACTGCACCCCTCCAGACCCTGCACCTGGACGTCTGGGGCCCAGCCCCCGTCCTTGGACCACGTCGCGAGCGCTACTTTTTAGTGCTTGTGGACAACTACACACGCTACACCACGGTGTTTCCCTTGGAGCGGAAGGCCGACATGCCCGACGTTTTTATCTCGTGGATCGTAGCTGCGTGCCTCCACCGCGTTCTCCTTGTGCTATGTCTCCACTTCGACCGTGGTGGCAAGTTCGCCTTTGGTCGACTTGGACAGTTCGGTCGTGCGGAGGGCATCACCCAGTCGTACACCCTACCGGACTCCCCGTAGCAGAATGGGGTCGCTGAGTGACGCATCGGCTTGGTCATGGAGGTGGATCGTACCTCCATGATTCATGCCGGTGCACCCCATTTTCTGTGGCCGTTCGTCGTTCGCTACGCCGCTCACCAGCTTAACCTCTGGCCGCGCTCCCAACGGCCGCAAGTTTTGCCGACCCTTCTTTGGACCGGGTTCCCGGGTGACGCGTCCACGTTCCACGTCTAGGGCTGCCTCGCTCACGTTCGTGCCTCTGGCACGGACAAGCTCACTGCCCGCACTGTCCCCTGTGTCTTCCTCGGTTCGCCCCTGGACTCGTCTGACAGGCACTTTTACCACCCGCCGTCTCACTGCTTCTTTCACTCCCGTGATACCACTTTCGACGAGTCTGCCTCCTTTTACCACCGCTTTTCCCACCGAGGTTTCCTGGTTTCCCCTCCCCTGTCTCTGGTCCCCACTCCCCCGATAGCACCTGCTCACCTTCCTCCCTGTCCTGCTCTGTCTGGTGTGTCTCACGTCACTCCCCTCCCGTCGGTTGTCCCGGTGGAGAACTCGGCTGACTCTGGTGGCCCTGCGGCGCAGTTCTCGCCACCTGTCCCTCCCTCGGTGTCTCCTCCTCTGCCGTCGCAGTCACTGCCACCGCAGCCGCCGTCGCTGCCACCGCAGCCGCCGCCGCCGCCGCAGCAGCCGCTGCCGTCGTAGCAGCAGCAGCCGTTCGTGGACTCTGGGGGTGCTTGCGTTGAGGAGGGTGCTAGTCCTGGGGTTCTTGTCGTGGCTTGTCCCGGTGGGCTCGGGGGTGGCACCGGTGCTAGAGAGGGTTCTTGCTCTAAGGGTGCTCGTTCTAGGGGTGCTGGAGTGGAGTGTTCTGGAGGTAGTCGCGGTGCAGCTGGCGATCCAGGTGTCGGCATCGAGCAGCAGTAGCAGCTGTGAGAGTACGACAGTGTGAGAGTACGATCCTTCTTTCTCATTTTCCTTTTTATCCTGATTCATTTTATCTTTACCTCATCTCATTTGGGTTCCTATTCCTCGTTTTCCACTATCATTTGGTTTATCCTTTTATCATGATTATATCACCAACCAGGCTCGGAATGTACTGGCGCCCTATATCTAGCGTAATTATGCCGTAATCCCTTAAAACCAATAGCCTCGTGCGGCTATACGCAGAGTGATTCTATTTCTAGAAGGGTCTATTCCTTTTGGATAGGATAAACCTGGTTACTTGATGTACCTTTGAAGTATAAAAGCGCCTTGTATCGGTTGATAGTGCAACTTTTCCTCAACACATTCAATCCTATGACACTTGGTAATCAGAGCTTTCCTCATTTGGCCGCGCTCAGCTAAGCAGACGCAGCAGGATACAAGGCACCGTCGGGGACGACTTATTTGGCACCGATTCTGGTAAGCACTAGCTCCGCGTTTTCTGAATTAACCCCTCTGCGCGTGTTTTGAACAGGATGACGAACTTCGACAACGCCGGGGTTACAGAGCAGCTCTTCGAGTGCATCGCCGTCCTACAGGAGGAGATGCGAGCCGACCGCGAAGCTTGGCGAAACGAGTTCGAGCGAGTAACTCGACTCGCCGGCACGCAGCACGAAATGACAACGGCGACGACGCATCATTCGCAGCAGTTTGTCGAGGC